GCCTATTGAAATTGGCCCAGTTGTCGCTAAGGCCAAAAGAAGTGATGTATCATTTCCTGGGGAAATGTCGACATAGCCGGTTGTCGTTGCCACCACCTTGTCTTTGGAGAACAAACACTGAGGGTTTTCCTGTCCTGTAGTGCCTGAGATGTAAGGATAGTCATTCTCTCCTTCGATCCCACCATTGGTCATAATATAGGCAAATGCGTTATCCATCAGACCCCCGCCACATCCCTGATTGCCAAAATCAGAGCTGCAATCGACCAATTGCTGTTCAGACAGACCAATCAGTTGCTTCTTCTTACGGAAGATCTGGCCTTCAAGTGACCCAGTCGCGGAGAAGGCCCAGCAGGAACCACAGTGTCCTTGGTCTTTCACTGGAGTCACCGCACCCATATCTCTCCAGTCAATCGAGGTAGGCAGTTCGAATGGGGTAGCCGGCTGCATGTAAAAGGACCCACGTGGGGCCTTTCTTTGATTCGGACGAAGGCCAAGTAGAACTTTGAGCTCCTCTGGTGTCTACAACAAGACAGGAAAGAGAAGTTTGAAAGTCCACCGAAATTATGAAAGACTTTGTTTTTTACACAATCCCTTGCAGTACGGTTAAATATCTACTTTGAACAAAGGCTAAATTTACTGTGCTTAGTCAGCTTGGCAATATAGCCAAATTTTATACTAATACAGACACGCACATGGTGGCAGTGGAAATGCCATCCAGAGCTAATATATTGCCGCACTAATTTTTGAGGAGATTATTTAGCCTAGGATGAGTACCATCTTAAAAAGGATAACTCTTCTTGTGACTGCTATCTGCACTCGAGGGATCTTGGGCAATCTTTCATATTGGCATGTCTTCCAATTTCATAGCCTTTGACGCAAGTTCTGTACTTTGCGTGCGTTGAACTAAAAAAGCACCGATACCCAGAACCTGGTCATCCGAACACCATTCAATTCCATCGAAAAATAAACTAACTTGTAGGGCTCATTCCAACCAGTACCAGTTTTGGCGTGCAGTTGGGTAGACACTCATTATTCGTGCTGAGAAAAAGACATCTCACTACTTGGAAACTTGAAAGCGCAGTCATTATTGATGGACGATACGAAAGAAGAGGTTCTACTATTCCTTCTAAGGCTACCTGAACTACTCTTCTAAATAGGTGTGAAGGCTATAAGAGATTGGCTAAACCCAATAACAAAAGCTCTTTCACCATTTTATGATGATCTGGTCATACGACCCACCTATCAAATAGATTAATTAACTTCGAAGCGGACAATCTGTTTCCGGCCCATTTTCACCGGTAAATTTAACGATAACCACAATTGCCATCCCTTTAGTCCCGAATTCTTCTTAAAAGAAATTGATGCGGAATAGTTCGCAAAGTATGAAAATATGGCCGGTTAGCAAAGCTGTTGGTATGGCTGAAGGTGGCAATGCGAATTGCGACAAAACCATCCCTGAGGCACCAGCACTAAAAAGGTAAACAATTTGACGCCAAATTTCACAAAACACCCGACCCTCAATCAAAAATCAAGGTGGTAGGTGATTTCTGACGACAAAAATATCCCAGGGAGCTACAAATCATTAATAACTCTTGTAGTGGCGAGATCAGGGTGATTAGTGCAACGTTGATTGGGCGTAAAATAGCTCATCGACGTATGTAAGAATGTCAGAATATTATTGAAGCCCCTATCTACACGCTCTAAATATTTGGCAGTCGCCACCGCCCACTTAGTCACCGATTGAAGATGTAAAGTTATTAATTTATTTCTTTCATTCCGCTTATTTGTTTAATTTTATGAAGTAGAAAAATTTATAGCACAGTAGTTGGTTGAAAGCATCAATGTGGCAAATAAGAGTACAGCCAAAAACCGAATGTAGTTAACGCAAATATATTCCGAGAATGGAATATTTGGCATATTTGCGCGTATCTACGTGGATTATCAACTGTTAGGCTAGCAACAATAAGTCTAAAAAATGCAGCTTTAGCTGTGAAATCCCAACACACATACATCATTAAAGTACCCTAATATCCAGGATGTACAATTGTTCCAATGTATGTAAGGATCATAAGCCACTCAGTATATACTAAGCCCACTTCGCACATTTAAAAGAGAATAGGTGTGCACCCAAACACCAGATGAATTTGAGTAAAGTCCTAGGCCAGAAGGATTTCAAGGACATTAAAAGCCATGATCTAAATTGAAAGATTAGTACCTACCTTATCAGAGAACTGGTTGACTCCCATTTCGTAAGTAGTCTCTCCAGCCTGAAAACGAATATTATGCTCCATCACATGCTTGATGTTTTTGGTGAAAATCACAAATCTTTGGAATCCTTCTTCCTTGTCCTCGTAGCTTTTATTAAACACGTCAAGGTACAGTCTCCATAAGTCATAGTCAACAGAAGATTCGCCAATAGCCAAACGAACTTTTCCTAAGAAAGGTGATGGAAATATCGGACTCGTTTCGAAAAGCAGCCATAGCACGAGTAAAGCTCCCTTAAGCAAGTGCATATTTGTAGTCAACTACAAGGGAATAAAGCAAAACCAGATAGTAAATTCAGCGACGTTTATACAG